GTGTGTGTGTGTGTGTGTGTGTGTGTGCGTGCGACGGGAGGTTTCTGGCTCCGTGTTCTTGCAGATCTGCACTCATGTGTGTTCTAAGCGTGCGTTGTGCTGAGTCACTGTTCTGCCCTCGGCAGAGAGCAGATCATTATTCAGGGGAACTCTGCCGCCTCCCTCCCTCCCTCCCTCCCTCCATCCTCCCTCCATCCTCCCTCCATCCATCCTCCCTCCATCTGCCTCCAGTCGGCAGCTCTCCGCTCTCATTTCATTATCTCGGCTCGTTATCTGCTCGGGCGCCGGAAATAAATAAAAATAGAACCAAAAACATCAATAAAAAAACACAAAAGCACTTTGTTGTTACGTGTAAATTCACAATAAGATGCTCAAAAGTTCAGCAAAATCATCGGATTCGCCGTAAAAATACAAATAAAACAACATGAATGACATTTAACCTTCTGTACGTACAACTGTAACAACGAAGCGTCACATCAGGCGAGCTGGACATGTTCTGGTAAATATAGAAAAGTTTAAGGTAAATTTTACACATAAATCTCTTATTACACCTGATATGATCTAAAATCAGTCACTTATTATTGTAGTTTTATATTTTTCAACATCAAAGATTTGTCAGATTTGAAGTTTTTAATGTAAATTGAAATGTAAATCTAATTTACTTTTTTAAAAAAAAGTATATACATATATATATATATAAAACAAGCAGCATTTAAGCCTTAAATTCACATCTACAACAATAAACCATTATATTTGAGCTCACATCAGGCGTAAAATGATTTTTTTTACACTAAAATCTTGTTTATTTTACAGTTTGTCAGTGTTACATAAAGTTTGTTCACCGAAAAAATGAGCTTATTAAACACTTACAGTAATAATTTGTTAATTTCAGATCACATCAAGTGTAATGTAAGCGTTTAGGTGTAATTTTAGATATTTTTTAAAAAACATTTTCAAGTCTTTTAAATTTTAAATTAAATTAATAGATTTTACCTTTAGAACAAAATGTAAAACAGCAGTTTTCAAACATAGATGCAATAATAATGTGTTGATTTGGATCGTATCAGGTGTTCTGTGAGATTTACACGTTATTTTACATTTTAAAAATATGATTTATTATTCAGGTCTTTAATATTAAAACCTGTTAGTCCACTTAGAAGATTAATGGATGTACCTTTAAAAATATGATTAAATCCCTTATTTCTATAATTACAATAAGAAACAATCACTTCAGATTTACATGTGAATCTACATTAGGGCAGAAGTCTCGTGTGCATCAGTAAAAATATCGGATTTTCTTTTAAAAACATGAAAAATCACAATGATTGAAGGTAAACGTATGATTGCAATAAATTATCAATAAACCAGATTTTTATGTAAATTTACACCTAAATCAGTTTATTATCGTCACGAGTGTCTAATTGTGGTGATTTTTGCTTTTTTTTTTTTTTTTACAGGTAATTTATTGACGTTACAGATCAGATGTCAACATGTTTGATGTAACGTTGGTATTTTCTGCGTTTCCAGTTCATTCGCCTGTTTGTCTCGCTCCAGAGCGCCTGATTGGTCCGTCTTCCCGCTGATTAACCGTCTTTCTGTTCATGGATTCGGTCTTTCTGACTGTGACGCTGACCGTCTCTGGTTCTGTTTGCGGCGCAGAGCTGGAGGAGGCCCACAAGAAGTGCCACCCCTGCTGGTACGTGTTCGCCCACCGCTACCTGGTGTGGGAGTGCTGCCCCTGCTGGCTGAGGGTGAAGCAGCTGGTGAAGGTCATGGTGATGGACCCGTTCCTCGACCTCGCCATCACCGTCTGCATCGTGCTCAACACGCTCTTCATGGCCATGGAGCACTACCCCATGACCGACGAGTTCAACGGCATGCTGAGCATCGGGAACCTGGTAGGCACACGAGACCGTCCACATCTGGATCCGGGTTTTTGATGCACCAGAGCATCAAAAACCTGGATCTCAGACAACTGAAACATCCAAAATCCAGGCATTAACGCAACAAAACCACCAAATCCTGCACAACTACAAACCAAAAGACCAAAAGCCTGGATATTGACACCCTAAGACCTCATATAGCTGGACTGTCGAGCTCTAAACCACCAAAAATCTGAATATCAAACAAGTGAAACATCCAAAACCTGCATATTATTCGATAAAAAGATCCGAAACCTGCATATTCTCACACTAAAACCTTAAAACCCTGGATATCAATGACATGAAGCATCAAGAACCTGAATGTTAATTCACTGAAAGATTCAAAATCTGGATAATAATGAATTTAAAAGTCAAAAACCTTGGATCTTGATGCAACAGAGCATCTAGATATTAATGAATGAAAACATCAAAAACCTGAATATCGAGTTACTGAAACCCCAAAAACCTAAATATTAATTCACTAAAATATGAAAAACATGAAAACTGAGGCACCAAAACATCAAAAACCTGGAAAATAAATGAACTAAAATATCAAAAGTCTGGATATTATCGAACTGATCTGTCAAAAACATGGATGTTGATGCACTAAAGCATCTAAATCTAGATATTAATAAATTAAAACATCCAAACGTGGATATTCACACATTAAACCTCCTGGATAGGAACTGACCTGAACTGTGGAGTCTGTGATCAAACCCTAAAACATGAACCCTGGATGCTGCTGCTTTTCTTTCCATCTTCGGTCTGAGAGAGAACCGCAGAACCACCTGCAGGCGGGTCGCCTGACGTTCTGCAGACGTGACAAAGACCAAGACGCTTTGGGAAGACGGCCAGCGGACGCCTGGACCCGCCTGGACCTGCCTGGACCCACCTGGAGCCACCTGGACCCACCTGGACCCACCTGGAGCCACCTGGACCCGCCCGGACCCACCTGGAGCCACCTGGACCCGCCCGGACCTGCCAGGAACCACCTGGACCCGCCTGGACTTGCCTGGACCCACGTGGACCCGCCCGGACCCTGCTGGACCCGCCTGGACCGACCTGGAGCCACCTAGACCCGCCTGGACCTGCCTGGACCCTGCTGGACGTTCACAATCCTCTGGATCCAGACACGTCGTGGAGCTCTTTGCTGTTCGAGGACGAAGTTTGTGTTTCTGTGCCGCCGTGGAAACGCGAGGTGAGCCCGAGTATCGGAGCTGACAGAAGCGGGTCGGATGGCTTTAAACCACCGTGACTCAGTCCGGCGCCGGGCCCTGCAGGCGCCGGCGATCTGAGCCGAGCTGATAGGTTGATGCAATATGGTAATGGGTCCACCTGAGGTGTGAGCGGCCCGCCGGAGCCACACCTGAGCTCGCACGCCGCCGTCGCCGTCGGCGCTGCTCGGCTCATGCTGCAGGCGGCCGAATGCTAATGAAGGTTACAGGTGGACGCTGTGGCCCGTGGCGCCGGTGTCCAAGCGCTGGGACTGGGCCCAAAGGCGGGCCGCGGCGGGAGCATCAGCCGGACTGGGAGGAACAAATGTGCACTGCTAATGTGAGACCCACGACTGCTTTGCTCCACATGATCGACCCGATGGCGCGGTTCTGATCGGACCGATAGGTGATGATTGATTGGACGTCTCTGTCGGCCCGACGAGCCGTCGGAGCGTCCAGACGACCGGAACCACGTCCAGCAGCGGGCGAGCACCAGCTCTGAGCTCGTCAACGCTCAGATTGAGTCGACCACCTCCTCCGATGGCGTTCTGGAGGCTCTGGTCCCGGCACATGTTCGCCTCGCCGCCGCCGCCTCGCCGTTACGTAAGGCCGAGTGCGGAGGATCATGTGGGGCCACTACGGCGCTGACAGGATCGATGCCGGCTAATGCTCTCCCTGCTTGTTGTTGTTGTTGTTGTGGTGCCGCTCTCTGGGTTTCACATATCAATACCTCCACACGTGTAAAGATCCAAAGAACACGTAGCATTTAGACGAGGCTTTTATCCAGACGCTCCTGAGTGCACTTAACCTTTGCTGTCCGACGGCGGCTCGCCATCGGGTCAAACGCTGCCGGCAGCTGCACACTTGTTTGGTTTCGTCTGTGCTGGAGCCGGTTAGTGGCCAGAAAGGCGTCCAGCCAGCCAGAGGTTCCTCCAGCTAAACCCTCACAGACCTGCATAGTAACGCACCTAAACATCAAAAACCTCAATGCTCACACACTACGAGTCAATAATCTGGATATTAAGGCACTGAAACATTAAAAACCTGCATATTAATGCACTAAAATGACTAAAAAGACTAAATATTGACACACTTAGACATTAAAAGCATTCATATTAATGGACTAAACCATCGACAACCTGCATGTTAACACCTTCAGCATCAAGAACCTCAATGTTCACACACTAACAGTCAATAATCTGGATATTAAGACACCAAAATGTAAAACAAAGTAGATATTACTTCTCTAAACCATTGACAACCTGCGTGTTAACACCGTCATGTCGTAGAGTTTCACGTACAGAACTGTTCTTACAGAACGTGGAGGTGATGTCGTTGAGGTATCAGATTTGGTGGAACAACGAGAGTCGCTGATGAGTAGTTCAAGGACCGTGGGAAAGTTGACACTGGGAGGATTTCTGGCTGATGAGCGGTGATTTAAAATAAAAATAAAAAGGACAGTCTGACTTTGGCGTCAGCGTTGGGCGGCTGGGTGGATTTTTAGGCGGTTGTTATTGATGATCAGCGTTTTCTTCCCTCGACAGTCGGCTGATTGTTCGGTTTGTCGCGGGAACCTTTGGGCGGTGACCTTCTGCTCCGACCGGCTCCTTCCCTGAACAGCTCTGATAAGAGGCGCCGGCCGCCTCCCGGGTTCCGGCTGAAAAATGAGCCGAGCGCTGAGCAGTAATGAAGTTTCTTTGTGGACGACGAGCGCGGCCGTCTGCTCAGGGGCACTCGGGCAGGAGGCCGGACTTCAACAGCCGGAGCACAAAGCAGCTGCCTGTGGAATAAAGAATGATGGATGTCTCGTGGAACGCTGCAGGAACAACATCCTGGACGACATGAGGACGAGCCGGGAAGACAAAACACAGCAAGAACTCTGGAAACCTGTTTAAAAGCTGGAAAAACACTGGACTGGTCCTAGGTCTGGTTTTTACTGGTTTTTACTGGTTTTAGGTCTGGTTGGTAACTGGTGTTAGGTCTGCTTGTCAACTGGTGTTAGGTCTGGTTTATAACTGGTTTTTACTGGTTTTAGATCTGGTTGGTAACTGGTGTTAGGTCTGGTTTATAACTGGTCCTAGGTCTGGTTTATAACTGGTTTTAGATCTGGTTGGTAACTGGTGTTAGGTCTGGTTTATAACTGGTTTAAGGTCTGCTTGTCAACTGGTTTTAGGTCTGGTTTTTAACTGGTTTTAACTGGTTTTGGACTTGTCTTGGACTGGTTTTAGTCTAGTTTTAGGCTGACTTTCGGCTGTTTTGTGCTTGTGGTTCAGACTGGGTTCAGACTGGGTTCAGACCAGGTTTAAACCGGTTTTCTGGATTCAAACCAGGAACCTCTCTGATAAATTCTCCTTTTCATTTATTTAAAATTCAGTGTCTGAATCTCTGACAGACACTTCACACTTTCCTCTTTAGCTGACACACACACACACACACACACACACACACACACACACACACACACACACACACACACACACAGGTGGAGTCCCTCCTGATGTCAGTCATAATAAGCAGTGATTGTTGAGGAGCTAATCAACACACTACAGAGTTAATGAGACCAGATAAGGTGTGTGTGTGTGTGTGTGTG